TCAAAGAATTTCTGTTCAATATGATGCACATAGGGTTTTTGATTCAATTTCCGTCCTACTTAGCACAACAAGCGCTTTACCTCTCTTTTCTGAACGAGTTTAAACAAAAAAATGGAATATTTCTGTCAAAGATGACTTGCAAATTTATTCACCTTTCAATACGTACCGTTGGATTTGATAAATAGTTACAAATTGTTGAGATATTGTCTAAAATCTAACACTGCTTCTTGATTCTAAATTCGTTCTACGAGTTTCAATTCCGTCCTAACGCATTGAAACGCCTTTAGATTTTCTTCGTCCTACGGAGAAACGTAGAAAAAGGGGATTCGCTAGAAGCGCTTCTTGTGTTTTGAGAACAATTAGCGTAAATATTTGTACAATGCGCTCTAACAGGATTTATGTTGTAGCTAATGAACTAACGCATCGGAACAAACCTATTATTGATTTCTGCACGGTGAAATCATTGATATTATTGATCTTTTCTGATTGATAGAACGGAAATGGGCGATTACGACGAAGTAGTGCTCTACCCTAAATGGAGCGTCATATATCATATAAGTTTACATTATATATCATGTAAAGTTCTGGCACATTTCATGCAATGTAGCAAATGTTGTATACAAAAGCTCATCTTTGTAAACAACATTGTTTACAAGTTGCTCGGTTGCGTGAAATTAAATTTAAGTTTACGTGAATGAATGTTTACATCACAATTAAAATTCAGAATTTTTATCTGTGTAGGATCACAACCTTCTAAGTCTACATTCCGACTACAGATATTCAATCACGATTCATCACTACATCAAGACTAACAATTGAAATGGCCTTAACTCCATTTTGTAAACAAACCTCGTAAGACCATTTTCTCGCGAACCGAAGTCCGCAAAGGCAAACCAACATAATGAACAGGTAGGGGAAATTCTCCTCCACCCGATTGTGGTTAAGGTTTGCGACAGAAGGTTTCGGTTCACGAGAACATGGCCTTACAAGGTTTGTTTACAAAATGGAGTTAAGGCCATGTGATTTCAAATGAAATTCTTGAATCAGTTATAATAATTAATTCGTCAATTACGGATGTTCCAGATCATTCGGAGGACCGTCCTAGTCCACATTCCGGTTCCATATCCAAATTAATACTTTTATCATCACCAGGCATGGAAAATCATTTGCATTCATTTCGTGCATTCATTCACATTCATTTGCCTCTAACTTTTTTCTTCAACAGCATTCCGCAAAGTGATGTTTAGAGCTTTTGTAGGTTTTGTTATTAGCTACAACTTTTGTCAAAAAGTCAAATCCGTATCTCTTATGCATGACGAAGCGGAGCGAACAGAAGCCACTACTGTTTTTCAGTGAATGTATTTTACATTCACTGAAAAACAGTAACAAGTTCTGCCCGCTCTAGTTCGTGATGCATAAGAGATAAAGATTTGAGTTATGAGCAAAACTTGTAGTTAATAACAAAATCTACAAAAGCTCTATGCATTATTTTGCGGAAGGCTGTTGATGTAAAAAGTTAGAGGCAAATGAATGTATGAAATGAATGCAAATGATTTTCCATGCCTGATCATCACTACAAATGATTTCATAACAAATTTCATATTAAACAAAATAATGAAGCGGGGCTACTAAAATAGCTTTAACAGCGCACCAATACGGTTGCGGTTCTGAGAATTACCCAGAAGCTCTCTTCAGAATTTCCTTGGATTTCTCTCAAGAATTTCTTCGGTACTATTCCGAAAACTCGATTCTTTGGAATTATTCCCGGAGCATTGGAGCTCAAATGGAAATGTTTTCATAATTCATGTGGAGATACTCCTCAAAATGTCATTCCGCAAAATGGCTTCTCCTCTGAATTGCCATGGAATTCTATTTCTGCTGTAGAATCCTACTTAAAATTAACTTGAATTCCTCGATAAAACTTCCTTGAAAATATCCAAAGCATTTTGTAAGAAATTTCACGCACATTTTCCCTTCGATTTCTTCTAAGAATGTCTAAATTCTCTCAGAAATTTTGCTCAAAACTCCCTTGAGACATGATTCCAAATTCCATAAAAAAAAATTCGTTTCCTAGATAATATCATAGTTAGGGTTCGTCCATAAACCAGTTCGATGCTTTGTGTTAACGAGTACATATACGAATCATAAAATTTAAAATGTGTATGATATTTGTCTATGGAGCGAAGGGGGCTCTGAAATCTGTTTAAAACTATTCCCGTAGTTCATGGAAGGGCCTCTTAAAACGAAAGCGGAAAGGGTTAAAAGATATCGACAGTGAGCTTTCATAAGGGCGAATACGCGATGATCGATTCTCTTCATCGATTTTCTCTTTGCATTGCTACAGCTAAGCGAAACAATTTTCTAGAATTTGATCAATGCAGAGTAGTAACAGGTTGTATTGGCTATCAAAAGCAACAGCAAACGCACCGAGAAACGTTGAATCTAGCGAGTTATTAACAAAAGAGAAAATCGACGAAGAGAATCGATCATCGCGTATAGGCCCTTATGCATGCTCACTGTCGATATATTCAAAACGATTTTTAAACAATCCTTCTCAAAATTAATCAAAATCTAATTTTCACTTAAATTTAAAACTAGCCGAAATCGATACTTTTACGGTACTACCTACAACACTAAAAACCGTTTTGATTATGAATGATGATCTTGAGCTACATACCTTTATTTACACTTCTTCAGCACTGCTTGTTTCCAACACAACGACAATGCGATTTTCCTTTTTATTTACATCACAAAACTTTTCTTCGCAATCACGTCGGGGCGGGTGTGTAGGTACTTTCTCGCTGCTTCCAAATTCACAAAATCCAAATCAAACGTAGTTTCGTTGATTCGAGCTTCCTTTTGGCACGTCCAAATCACACAATCACTACCAATTGAATGACGACAGCATCACACGTAGCAGCTGGGATAAACCATGCGTAGCATTACCGAAAAACAGAAACTTGTTTTCGGCATAAATTATTATTTAGCACCCGATAGAAACTCCGGCACGGCACCGATTTTAACTCCCGTTGTCCACAGTCAGTCGCTCTCTGTGATGTAAGTGTTTACCGTAAACGTTGTTCATTCGTTCCGCGGATCCAGACCGAATGACATTCCAACACACGCACACGTCCACAGCAGTTTCATTCTTTCTGCAATGTTTGTTTACGTTTTTGCCGAACTTTTTTTACACACGCTCCCGTTCGTTTTCGGTTTCACTTACACAACTACATAGCTTCACGATGCAAGGGGGGCACTTAAATAATGTTTCAGTCATGAAGCGACCTCTTCCTTTGTCTGCTTTGAAATGACCGTTACAGTTTGCTGAATGGCTCGGGTGATGGTTTTTCAGAATCGTTCTTCCTGCAAGGTCTTCAATGCCGAAAAGAGATGTTGTACAAATGAGTATTCTTGTTTTTGAAGATCTCCAGGATGGGTAGCCAACAGTAGCGCACTTTGGAAGCTCATTTCGAAAAGGAATCTCCATGACATTTTGTGATTTATGATGGTCATCGGATGAGTGTTGTCTTTCGAATCACCAAAATCTGGCTGGAAAATTCAGCGATGACTTTCTGTCAATCACGTATTCCGTATTCTGGATGAAGCAACAACGTTCGCTTTGGTCTTTGGTCAGAATAATCAGTGGACCCATGGTAGTTTGTTTTTCTGGAGGATCAGTGTTCTGAAATGAAATTACACTTGATTTAGTTTATGGGGTAAGTATGTGGCGATGAATGAATTTTAATAAACTTATATAGTTTAATAATAGCATAATAGCACATATCCATTAGTGTAATAATTTTTTAATTAGTGTAATATCATAGAGGTAACTCTAAAACTAGTAGGTCCCGAAGAAACGTGCTCAACTTTTTGGCTCAGCTCTAGTACCAACAATCAATACGAAACTAACGACTTTAAATTGGCTCACTACTTGACTAGCCTATTGGTCCCAAGCAAACGATTAACGTACCCAATTCTAGTCGAAATTCTAGTACTACGCAATGTTTGTTTTGATTCGCTATGAAAGTTTGACAGATAAAATGAGGGGTTATTGGTTTTTCCTATGTTTCGAGGGGTGAATCGATTAGCTTGGGACCGAAGAGAGTACCAGAGCTGAGTCAAAAAATTGAGCACGTTATTTTGAGACCTTCTAGTCTTAGAGTTACCTCTATGCTAGTACTATCTTCGGTCCCAAGCTAATCGATTCACCCCTCGAAACATAGGAAAATCTACTAAGTGATGCATACGCATGTTTATAAACTTGTTTCCAGCTAAAGAAAAATAGCACTAAGCAAACAAAACAAACCCCTAAAAAGACTGAGCTTCTGTGAATTTCTCCTACGGATCCGTATTTCTGCCAAATTCAATCAGTTCTACGAAAACTTCGTAGAACCGACATCACTGACTTCCATCTGTTTTGTTTTTATAAACACAGCTGACGCGCGTTGACAGAATGAGGGAAAAGTAACTAGTGAAAAAAATGCATGAACGAGGGATGCTCCGGTTGCAAAACAATTCTTGGGAATGTGCATGATAGAGGGTGCTGGCAACCCTTGGAAACTAACGATTTTAAATTGGCTCACTACTTGACTAGCCTATTGGTCTCAAGCAAACGATTAACGTACCCCATTCTAGTCGAAATTCTAGTACTACACTATGAAAGTTTGACAGATAAAATGAGGGGTTAGTGGATTTTCCTAAGTTTCGAGGGGTGAATCGATTAGCTTGGGACCGAAGATAGTACCAGCTGAGCCAAAAAGTTGAGCTCGTTTTTTCGGGACCTTCTGGTCTTAGAGTTACCTCTATGGTGCTAGTGTGCATGCAAAATACGCTCGACGATATTTTTTGAATAATGTTCCTCTAAGAGCTATGTCTGTTTGTTTGTACAATTATGGTCAAATCTAAAGCTATTAAATATTCTTACCTTACACAGAGAATGGAGAACATAGCGATGCTTGTGACAGTTCACGGATTTAGTAGGATTTGCTTAATATTCTCTCTCTCACACACACACACACACACACACACACACACACACACACACACACACACACACACACACACACACACACACACACACACACACACACACACACACACACACAAACGCGCGCGTGCGCGCACGCACGCAGCGAGAATGCGTTTCCGTCTCTTACAGCTCCTGCATGGCCAGAATGATATTCTGTAGAGCCGTTCGCGCATCGGACGGAGGCAATCGATCCAGCACCTGCATTGCCGCATGGCTGTGCTTCCTCATGAGGTTTTTCGTCCGTTCCAGTCCCGGTCCGGTTCCGATGGCCCGGTGCAGATTTCGGTAATCAATTTCGTCAACCGAACTGCTGCCTTTTTCCAGCTCTTCGTAGATGCTGGGCTCGTACTCCAGGTGAAAAAGTACGGGCGCCGAGACCAGACTGAATTGAGCTCCCAGGGGCAAACTGCTGGAGAGGAACGGCTGCAAATCGATGCAGGCTTGCCACGCCAATGAGAGATGCCTGCCGAATAGGTAGCCTTGTTTTTGCAGTTCTTCCGGCTGTCCAGCCAACATCAGTGCACCCTGACAGCTCTTTCCGAGAAGGCTTCCCCCGCCAAGCACGTGCCGCAGGGACCATTCCTTCTCGGGATTGCCCATGGCATTTTCCATCCTCATTGGTTGGGTGTTGTCTTCTAGGTCCCCGAAACCGAGCTCTTCCAGGGTGCAGTCCGCTGAAGACTTTCCACCCACCTCTGAATCCGGTCTGGATGGAAGTGGGTAGTTCTGTTCATCTCGGTCCCCGATGAAGTTGGATTCAGCCAAATCTCGATAGGCCGACGAAATGAGCATGTTCAAATCTTGGTTTCTGAAAGCAGCAGATCTTGTTATTCGTTTGTGCTTGAAGGAAATAGAGTATAGAAAATACCTGAAAGAAGCAATCTGTTGACTGGCATTCGCCAGCAGGTAATCTCCTCCAAGCAGTGCCATTTTGTTACCGAATATCATTTCACTATCTCCGCTCAGATCATTGCCAGCATTGTCCATCGCTTGTAAATTGATCATCCCCTGGTGGATCAGATGCGACGTCCGGATCATCTCCGTAACTTCGGCCAGCGCTCGTTGGGAATGCAGCACTCCGGCACTTTTGTCCTGTTCCATATCCGGAATGGAATCCGCATGGCCAGCGGCCTTGGACACCAACAGCACGATCAGTCCCCAGGCTTGCTGATTCTTGTCGTTGTAAATCAGTGTTCTGAAATGAGTTCCGTTCGGTTAGTTTCGGGTGTGATCTCATATAGCACAAAGATACATAAAGAGTTTTTAACTTGACTTGTTTCCCTGATTCAATGTTTGCTTGTTATTTATTTGTTGTTCGATTGTACAAATATTCAACGTTAGCCATTTATCAATCGATACAACGAAGAAACGTGTCTGGCAACGGTAAAAATATGAATTTAAACCACGCCGCTTACGACTTTGAGTGTAACCTTCTTCTGAATCGACCCCACAGAGCACACCTGTGTGGGCAGTTTCGGCAATTTTAAATTTCTTTTTCAATCCCGGTCATCGTGCGTTTCTTCGTTCGTTCGTTTGGTCGGTTCAGATTGTTACTGTTTTGGTGGCCAGCCTACATTTTCGGCGGGCTAGACGCGGAAAGCAGCCCGAAAGGGTGGTAACAATTTGATTTTACTTTCCATTTCGAATGTACTTTTCATTTTGCCATCGGCGAAAAAAAATGGTTTGGAACTGTGAGGAAAGCCGCCCATAGGTTTGTTTGTATTTTTTTATTCTTCGATTTAAACGTACCGGTTTTTGTTTGCATTTAGCGAAAGGTGCATGGTGCAAGGGTGCAATACAAACCTACAAATGTTTCGTTTGCGTGGTAACTGAACTAGGTTTTTAGCCTAGTAGGTTAATGAATTCATTTTTGCATGCTAGGGTCGATAAAGAATGCCAAAACGTTATAAAATGCTTACTTTATACTAGTATTGTTCAAAAGATCGATTTTGATCCTATCCTTCATAACCTTGAGCACTGGCGGGCACAGGGTGGGGCAAGGGGGGGGGGAGGGGAGGGCTCTGATAAATGAAATAAACGGAAAATTTCTGGTGAAAAACTTGCACTAGTCTGGTAAATGAAGGTACAAGCTTTATTTAAAATTAAGCTATATTGAAAATTTCTGGTGGAAAATCTGCACCATTCTGGTAAGCTTTTGGAAAAATTTTGGTCTTAAATTTGCATCCTTCTGCTGAATAGAGAAACAAACTTTAATAATAATTTCTGCACGGTTCGAAAAAGTAGTGTAAATTTCTGTTCAATATGATGCACATAAATGGAGCGTCATATATCATATAAGTTTACATTATATATCATGTAAAGTTCTGACACATTTCATGCAATGTAGCAAATATTGAATACAAAAGCCCATCTTTGTAAACAACATTGTTTACAAGTTGCTCGGTTGCGTGAAATGAAATTTAAGTTTAAGTGAATGAATGTTTACATCACAATTAAAATTCAGAATTTTTATCTGTGTGGTGTAAAATTTGCACCATTCTGATTATTGGAGGGAAGCTGCTTTACTGAAAATTTATGATGAAAAATTTGAAAATAGGGACAAGCTTTAATTGGTGGAAAACCTGCAACATTCTGATGATAGGAGACTTCCCAAGTAACAATTTCCAGTTGAAGAAACGCTTTCGTTTTGATTTTGTTCAGCTGCATGTTGAATAATAATTGCACAATGTGTTCACCACAACTTTAATAAAACCCTTGTTTACACTGGTCTGGAGAACCTATACAACTGCAACACAAAGGTGTTGTCTAACGTATTCAGTAAAACGTTTACCCAAAATCAATTTCTTGTTGAAGAAACGCTTCCATTGTGATTTTATTCAACTGCATGCTGAATAATAACTGCATAATTTGTTTATTACAACTTCTGTAAAACTCTTGTTTACACTGTTTTGGAGAACCTGTTCAACTACAGCATTATATGTATACGCGGAATAGGAGTAGAAGCAACTTTTATACAACGTTTATAGATACATATTTAAACTCAAGCTTTATTATTTTGGTGAAAGCTCTTATACAACGTTTGTAGACACCTCCTAACAGCTGCTTCGAAATGTATTAGAGATTGAACCTGAGAGGCGTTTGTTACACTCTTTTATGACTCCTAAATAATCATTGTACAACAAGCGGTGAAAAGCGTTTATAGCACTTTTTAATGACTCCTTAATAACCGTTGTTACTCACAATATTCACAGATTAAAATTAGTTTAACAATTGTCGTGGTACGCCAAAATAATTGCTTGTACAGTTTTTATTAATTTAATTTATGTGTGCACATTGAAAATATATGTAATTATGCCATAATTCACATTCTGTGATCATGGAGGAAGTAGCAACAGGCATCTGTTTAATCTTTGATTGATATTCTTTCAATTAATCTCTCTAATCATTAATTGAGAGAATTTATCTAGAAATGTTATCGTTGATTATATGATATAGGTATGTCTTAAATTAATGTTTGCATTTATTAATATAACACCTAGGGGAAATGACGGCTTCGACATGACAGACTATTTTCGGCAACCCAAATTGAACCACTATTTTCACTGGATTTTCTTACGAAAACACTTCGCTGAATGCATGCAAACGATTCTTTATGCTTTCAGCTTCAATTTGACTATATTTTTACGACTGAGAAAAAGCAATCTAGCAAGGTTTTCTTGAAATGAAACACACGCACTACAAATTGTAGCTGATTTCGAGTTGCCGATAAGAGAACAGCAGATTTACATGCAGTTCAAATGGAACGGTTGCCGAAGAAAAACTGGTTGCCGACAATACTCGCTCTCACTAGAGAAGATTGGAGCTTTGTAAAAGCGTTTCAAAACAGTTTTTGACAATTCTTTCAACTGAAATTGTTAGAGCAGCTGGCAGCAAAAGATTGTAAACAAACCAATACTGCATATGTGAGCGTTCCATAGAGAAAAAGGCTATAGAAAGAAGGTCGCTGCTTAGGTTGCCGAGAATACGTAAATTCCCCTATATATAATTTACCTCTACTCCACCGAGGGTTTCTCGAAGCAAGATTCGAACTCATGATCCCGGATTGCCAGCCGCTTCTGTTTCCATCTGCTCTATTCTTGAATACATATTTGGATCATATGAGAGAAGTATATGAAGCTCATCTTGAGTGACTTCTCTTGCAGTCGAATAATCATTGCAGTTTTTGAAGCGTTTAACCAAATGGCAATACAACTACATTCTTGTTCAACTCTGGAAGCTATTATTCAACGTTTGATCAACTCAGGTGTTTTATAAGAGCTCCCAATGTTTTGTTTTGATGCGTTTATTCCACATCCTATATGGCTCCTGTCAAACAGTTTAACCGAACGTAAACAATCATTTAAGAGTGCTCCAAGCAGCTTTTGAAGCGTTTAACCAAAAAGGCAATACAACTACATTCTTGAACAACTCTGGAAGCTATTATTCAACGTTTGATCAACTCAGGTGTTGTATAAGAGCTCCCAATGGTTTGTTTTGATGCGTTTATTCCACGTTCTGTATAGCTCTTGTGAATCAGTTTAACTAAGGTGCTATAAAAGTTATCGTAGGTCTTATAAAACATATAGTTAAACCGAACGTAAACAATCATTTAAGAGTGCTCCAACAGCTTTTAAAACTTTTAATCAAATGGCAATACAACTACATTCTTGTTCAACTCTGGAAGCTATTATTCAACGTTTGATCAACTCAGGTGTTTTATAAGAGCTCTCAATTGTTTGTTGGGTTAAAGCAGGCTATATTGGAAAATGTCTGGTGAAAAATGGAACAAAGGAAATCTGCACCAATCACAAGATTGGAGAAGCAATTTTCATTGAACATTAACGGTGGAAAATTTGCATCGTTCTGATCAGTTGAAATTTTCAGGTGTAAAATTTTCTGGGGGCAAGTTTGTATTGAAAATTTCTGGTGTAAGATTTGCAACAATCTGCTGCATGGAGGGGCAAGCTTTATTGAACCTTTCTGGTAGAAAAATTGCACAGTTCTGGTGAATTCAGGGGCAAGCTTTATTGAACATTTTTGGTAGAAAAACTACAACAACTTGAATTCCTAGAAGAATCTCAAGGGTATTGAATTCTGAGGACAGTTCCAAAAGAAAAGATTTCTAAGGATGATTCCATGAAAATTCTGCTAATAATTTTTAGTGAATCCAGCAGATAAATCCAAGATAATTTCGAAAAAATACCGAGATAATAAAAATTTTAATGAAATTCCAAAGGGATGTTGAGAAAATTTCAAGGAAATTCGGAGGATAATTTCACGCTCATTCTGGGAAGAATTTCTGGAGAATGCAGAGGAAATTCTTCTGAAAATTTTGGGAAATTTCAGTTCCAAGGTGTTCTGAGGAAAAAAAGTTCTAAAATATTCCGAGAAGAACCTCAAGGATTTTGAATTCTTATGACAGTTCCAAAATATTTCTGGGAGAATTCAAAGAACATCTTGTGGATAATTTCTAGTGCATCTTGCAGATAGCTCCAAGATTTTTTCGAAAAGAATACCGAGGAAATTAGATTTTGAGTGAAATTACAAAGGAATTTTGAGGAAAATTTCAAGGGAGTACCGATAATTTCTAGCTCATTGCGGGAATTTTTTTTTTTTGAAATTCTAAGAGAATTTCAGCTCCAAGGTGTTCTGAGTTAAGAAAAGAATTTCAAAAGAGCTCATAGAGTTCTTAAAATTTCGAAAAGAACCTCAAGGAATTCCGAGGATGAACTTTTTCGCAACTGTACAAAGTTTAAAGACAGCTTTTGGATTCCCTAATTGAAAAGTGGATATTAGTTTGCCATTGAATCTTGGTCTATTGTTGTCTTACTGGAAAATCGTCTAAGAATCTTCTCTGAAAATTTCAAGTCATTTGTTACCGTGGTGAAAAAGTTACAGCTGTTTATGTGCGTTGCAATAAATTCGGGTTTGTCCTTTATATCATCTTTAAAACATGTTGAATGTTCGGCATCATTTTCTGTCACTCCGACTGGTGGTACTTTGGGACGGTTCATCATCGACATCGTCGATGGGATTAAATTGCCAATTTCCATTGGCTGTCTGAAAGCAGTTTGCCTTGAAGAAGATGAACACCACCGGCGCAAAAAATTAATAAAATTGGATAAATTAAACAGTAGGGAAACAGTGGTGGGTTGGCAGCACCATCTCCCACGCACTTTCGAGTACTCCCCATCCCCAGATTAAATACACCATAAAAAATTGCCCCTCCTTAACAAGATTCCTGTGCACCTTGAGAGAACCACGAGTATCAAGGGGGTGACCCCGGCGTAGTGGTTAACATCCATACCTCTCACGCCAAGTTCACGAGTTCAAATCTCACCCTCGGACAAATCAAGTGTGCGACTTAAATAAAAGAAAATAATAAAATAAATTAAAATAAAAAACACGAGTATCCAGTCCCAGCCCCACTAGACTTAGATTTAAGTTCTTCTTCTTCTTCTTCTTCTTCTTCTTCTTCTTCTTGATTGGTAAAAGATGCGATAGGATTTGTTCAAAGGGATTACTGTCGGCTTCTCTTCGTCAATGACGAAGAATGTATGAAAATGATGGTTTTTGTACCGCGACAATTTATTTTTGGTTTTCGTCAAACGTCACTGACCAAACTGACCTTTACCAACTCTGATCACAACTATTTAAAAAGGCACCCCGTGGAGGCTTCTTAAGCTCACACTTAAAAAAGTTTGATATAATCAATTGTACCTAATAAAGATAGGTATAATGTCAACATTGTAATTATTCTGCTACATATATATTGGGAAGTCCTTCACCTGTTCCATTCACTTCATCTCTCTTAGCTTTTCAAGTTTAAATGCAAGTTATTTTTTGCCAATGGATAACAATTTCAAGTGTTGAAAACCAGTACCTAAATCAAAGTAGTGTTGTTCAGAATCAAGAGACTAGTCAGATTGAGTTATTGAAAAATTAAAATGTTTTGGTTGTAAAATACCTCTAGATAATTCTTTTAAAATTTGTAGTAGATGCCGTCTTCAAGTTTATCGTTTACCATCAAACAAAACGCCTTCGAATGATGGAATGCAGCAAGATGTGGAACAACCTTCTACCAGTGGTGTACGATCAAAATGACAATTTGTTATGTGTCTAAGGAAAAATACAAATAGCCAACCAATAGCCAAGAAACCAATTTCTGGAACTCGAAAATATCATTACTATATTCCAGTTTCAAACAACCAAATTGCAGTAAAAGTATTCTCTAGTTCTAACGATACACCCAATGTATTCAATGTATTCAAATAATATGAGTTGTAAAAAAAAAAAAATGTTTAGATAACCAATACAAATCTTTAATATGATATCATCAGCGTGTTTCTCTTCCGCTGCATCGAAATAGAACGGGTAAATTTGACAGTTACCGTATCTGAGAATGAATATATATATTTTTTTTTTAATTTGAAATTTTGAAATCATGGAAAAACATCTCGTTGCTGGACGTGATGACTAACATTTTAAAATGGTATAAAATTTTGAACATTATTATTACTATTATTATTATTAATTCGCAATAAATTGAGAACCACTGGACTTGGACGCAAAACTCAAATAAATTATTATTTCACTAAAAAATATGTACAATTTTATAAACTTTAATAATTAACAAAAACAATTAAAAAAATATAGATTTTTTAAAGCAAGTAATCAGCCTTAACTTTTCACCAAATTTTAAACATTTTTTAAGTTTTCTAAATAAAAACAAATATAAAGATTAAAGGGGGGGGGTGTTTTGGGATAATCAACGTTTTAAGTTTTTTTTATAAATATTAATTTACTAAGTTTTTCATTTAAGTGTTTTTTTTTCCTTAAAGATAAGTTAACAACCTAGAACTTCTTTTCAGATGTGATTTTGATCAGATCAATAGTTTTCATGTTATGATTTTTTTGAAAAAATGTAATCAATTTTTTTAATCCGCTCTTTTTAAAAGTTACTGTATACAAAAAAATCATATATAAATAAACAATATAAAAAGTTTCTTTCCAATCGGAAGGGGTTGAGACAATATTGATATATTTTTTAGCGTTTTGGGCTGGAAATGCTCTAATATAATTGATAATAATATTATGCAAAAATGGTACAGGTATCGGAAGCTCTCAATTAATAAGTGTGGAAGTGCAAGTAGAACACTAAGTTGAGAGCATGCAATAAGCTAATATGCAACAAGCTTGTAATACGATAAAGAAGAAGAACTTTTTGACACTAGACTAACAAATAGACAGCTCTATCCCACACGAAGTTCCATTGAGGGGCGGTATGATGGTGATTTTTTTCTAATGTAATCGCTCGTGTTTATAAAAGTTTAAGTGCACCAAAATTGATCAAATTTTGTATTTCGGTCCCATTTTTAATCCAGATTACACCGATGGTGTAATGGTAAGCGTGATTGCATCTCACTCCAAAGGGTCTGGGTTCAATTCCATGTCGGTACCATCGGGATTTTCTGAGGCATAAAATCTATGGTCACACCTTCCTTCGTAAGGGAAGTAAATCCGTTGATCCCCGCTCCATGAGTTTGATGGGCCGTTAGGTAGGGTCCAGGTGTGAGATCTGCTTGCCTTGCCTGGTACTCAGTACAAGATTAACGAAAAATAAATCAAGGAAAAAAATCCCTCAATGAACCCAATCAATGATTTTCACACTTAAATTATTTACCAGTCATTTTACTGGGTTTATGAATTGCGGAAAAATCTCGTTAAAATGACCGTTACTTGCTAATAAATCAACAAAGTTTACATAGGGGAAATGGCTCTATTGTTGGCCTATGGATCTAAGATTGGGCCCATCGCTAAAAATCATTTCCCCTATTTTATTTTTTATCAACCCAGCCTGTATAAGTTGCTAATGCGGCTTTCGTTGATCTTACGACTTGATAATCCGACAGCACGATCTCTCATGGAGCTTTTTTTACATTGTTAAGTTGGTAACCTTGATTTGTATGGATTTGTCAGTCGTACTATTGGATCAACCCAGCTAATCTTTCCACAACTATGGCGGATTAGCGGAGGGATACTGTAATTTACCCATTTTTCAATTGTTTGATTTTAAAAGTTTGGCCGAACAGTTCCGCATTTCAAATGTAACTGAGTAGCTAAATTAGTGGAAATTAGTGTGTAGCTGCAAAAAGGCGCGTAATATTTATGCTGTTTGTTATGCGCAAACGTTTACAAAACTACGGTTTTACATTAAATCGCATTGGTGTCTTCTGCGCACTTAATAATAAGGAATAAGGGCGCCGAAGACACCAAAACGATTTAACGTGAAACCATAGTTTTATATGAGTTCGCGCACATCCAATAGCACAAATATTACGTGAAATGCGAAATATTAAATACAGCTTTAGGATCTCTGAGCAGTGCCGTTTGCGAAAGATTTGTGTAGTCCATTTTTGGCCAGCTTTTAGGGCAAAATATTCAGGTTTTGTCAAACTAATTTCCATTAACCTGATCTAATCTTCATATCATACCACTTGATTTGCATATTTATCTTTTCTTTACGTTCGCCACGCGCAAAATCCTATCTCTTGCATGATTTAACACCGCAGGCTGGTGGCAACATGGAACTAGTTGTCCTGACAATATAACCTAGGCCTGGCAGAGACGCAATGGATTTCGAATTATCAAAATCGAACCATTTTTTTTATTGCTGCGCGGTCGAAACGGATGCGAAACGCTTTCGACAGCAAAAATGATTATTTATCGCACAAGGTCTTGAATTGTTTTTAATTTGACAAGTAAAAGTGATTTATATTTCGAACCTTGTAAAATGAGTTAATCTGAATCAAATAGAAGTTGCAGATTTTGTGTAGTTTCATAAAACGACTTTCTTTGGTATGAACATATAAACAATTATACTCTGTCAAAAACCCTCACAACTACTCATCAAGGAGAAAGCTATTGACAAATAGCTAATTATCAATTATTATGTTGCAACTTGAAAAACATGGTTGAGCCGAAGATTTCAAGGCTGAGCGAACGTTATGTATGCATCATCTTGTTCTTTGGCTTTATTACGTTCCTACTGGGACCATCAGCCCTCAACTTTGTGTTCTTTAAGCACTTCCACATTTGTTAATTTAGGGCGTTCTACTAGGCCTTAACAATTTGTTATTAGTATAATTATGTGGCAAGAACAATCATACTCTAAGCCCCGATAAGTCGAAAAAAAATCCAAGACTCGAGCTCAGCCGCCCCCAGCATGGACTTGTCTTACAGCTGCACCTTTACCGACTGAGCTAAGGGAAGCCCTGAGAGACCTTAGGGTGATAGATATCTTCATCTAAACCATAATTAACCATTGCCAAGATGAATCGATTTCAGTTATAGATTGATGCATGCAAAAATTCCTCATCCACCACGATTCCATCTGACCTTCACTGACTGGCCATCGACCCCCGTAGATCTACGCTATCATTCCTTCAACTTCGCAACGCACAAACCTACCCCACGTAAATTATGAAACAGGATTCTCCTAAAGAAAAAGGCAGGAAAAACGTAACACACAAACTCACTTGGCCGTTTTCAGCAACGGATGATTGCTGCCAACCAGTTTGCGCAGATGAAGCGCTACATTTGCTATCTCGTCGCTAAGCAGCCAGCGCAGACTGAGAAAAGACGTCGGGTAGCCCACGATCTTCTCCGCCTCGCTTACGGCCCGGTTCCAGTCGTGCTTCTGGACCGCTTTGGTAGCCGTGGCCAACTTTTCCCCAACCGTCGAGCTGGAACTGATCCGCCGTCTATCGATTGCACTTCCGGATGCTACCGTTAGAATGCGTCGGGGAACACTATGGCTTGTGCTCGTAAGTTGCTGCTGCCAGCAGATGCGGGCGATTCTGCGGAACGCCATCACTCCACACTTGACCTCAATATGATTCAATTTTCTTCAGCACGATAACCCCGTAAAATTTGGACACACTTCAATCTTGCTGCTTCAATCACGTTTAAATCACCTCAACGACGACGACGGTGACGACGCGACGGACGTCCAAAATGGGAAACTGAAAGAAAACACCGCAACCTTTCACTGACCGGAATCGGAGGGCCAGTTTGGGAGGGCAGAGCTTTTGGTTGCTCTACTGTATAGTGATTTTTTTGGGTAATGAAAAAGCCGCTCGCGAAATAGCTCTAATAAACGGACCGCACGCTCGAACTGCCAGTACAGGACTACCCCAGAAGGTGCGTACGGGCCGCGGCTCTGCTCAAGTGGTATAGCGCGCCAGTTTCTTGGGAGTCACATTTTTTCCTGCAGCGTTGGCAGATTGTAGTGTATTTTAGCGAGGTAAAATAGTTTTGCGCCACCGTGAACGTGATTAAATGTTAAAACCGAAATCGGTGGAGAACAGAATGATGAACTTGAAAATCTTGGGATTTAGTCGGTGATGATCATGATTTCGGCATTTCAGCGGAGGCGAACCAGCCCCATGCTGAAAGCATCTCTAATAAAGACAACACAACCTAACCTAACTCAGTAAGCATAAATGGTCATCTCTAGGTCACCGAGCTCCTCATACCCCCACAAACTGTTTCAACCACTTTGTTGTCACTGATGTAATCTGACTGATACGAAAAATTTAAAATCAGTGAGATCGGAGGTATTCTTCTTCTTCTTCTTCTTCACATTTCAAGCTTATTGCATATCGCATATTAGCTTATTGCGTGCTCTCAACTTAGTGTTCTAGATGCACTTCCACAGTTATTAATTGAGAGCTTTCGATGCCTGTACCATTTTTGCATTGGTATAATTGTGTGGCAAGTCCAATCATACTTCTATGCCCAGGGAAGTCGAGAAATTTTCAAACCCGAAAAATTCCTAGACCGGACCGGGAATTGAACCCAGCCACCTCCAGCATGGTCTTGCTTTGTAGCTGCGCCTTTACCGACTGAGCTAAGGGAGGCCCCATCAGATCGGAGGTATTTACATACAACTATGATTTCCGACCAGGAGTAATGCATCACAAATATCACTCATCTTTTAACTAGTCCCAACCGAAGTATATTATGTTTTAAAGCAGTGTTTCACAATCCACCACACCACCACAACCATGCATCACTCCTCCGCTCCACCACCGTCGACAGAACCCGATAAAGGATCCCAAAATATCACGCCGTAAGCCCTTGCACAACTGCTTTTTTTTTTTTTTTGAGAATTTGCTTGAAATGTGGACATTAATTTTCCCAAAATTACCTTCACCTCTGAATTTTTCTCAAAATTCCCTCTTGGTATTATCTTGGAATTCTCTTGAAACTCGCCTTAGTAGTCAATTTGAAATACATTCAGATTCTCTTTTGGCACTACATATAGTTTCTCTGAAGTTCTGTAAACTTCTCTGAACCTTCAATAATCTAAAGGTCTTTGGAATAATTCTTGATCAACTTCACTAATAAAAAATAGCCATTATAAAGAGCTTAACGACGTGCTCTGGGTATCATCCAAACCATTTGTGGGATAGTTCTACCATCCGGGTTACCGTTCGTTTATGGTGTTTGTTTAATATGGTTGCTAGCTTGCGAGAATATTTTAAAGACGTGACTCACATTATTGGACAGTTGGAGAGAATAATACCTGATCAAGCAGATGTCTTTAAAACTATCCAAAGACTTAATGGAGATCTTTGATTAACTGATGGCAAATATACTAATTGGCAATAGAGCTAACTCTTTTGCTTTTTGTAGACACGATTTTCAGCCCACAAGCTCACCTTTGCGTCAGATAAGGTAACTAATGTATTCTATAAACATTACGAGGGATGCTTCAAAGCTTTAAGAGAGGTTTAAACTAAACTTGTTTAAACATTTAATTTCGAATTCCCATAGGCTTCAGCAATGATCGCAAGATTTTTCATTGATTTACAGTGCAATAGAATTTGATTTTTCTTGCTTAACCATTGCACCTCACTCACCCCTCGACTGTAATCAAATGCAGGTTGGTTGCCTTTTCTGACGTTAGGTGTCGTGTCGAACAGTATGTTTCTGTACCCTGACTGATGTATGGGAAATCGAAGTGTGAACTGTATAATAAATGCAGTATATTTGCTGAAGGGTTTTAGAATTAATTCTGATGAAGCTGATATCTTGAGAGAATATCCGGGAGACTTGATTTAAATTGTTGGACAGCTGAAGACTTCAGAATAATAGCTGATCAACCTGGAGTCTTGTAAAAATATCGAAAGAACTTTATAAAGATCATCGATCAACTGAATAAGTTCTAATCTCCTTGTTATCTTGAGAGAATATTCGGGCGACATAATATGAATTATTGGACAGTTGGACATCTACAGATCAGCCTGAGGTCATGTAAAAATATCCAAAGCACTTTATGAAGATCTTTGTTCAACTGAAAGTATTTTGGAATAATTTTTGATCAACTTGGTATTCTCTGATTTGAATTGTTGGACCGTTGGAGATCTTCAGAGCAATTCCTGATCAACCTGCAGTCTTTAAAAAAAATAGCCATAGGATTTTATGAAGACTTTTGATCAACTGAACGTGTTTGGAATAATTTCGGATGAACTTAATATCTTTTGTGCGACAAGTTGAAATTCTAAGCATTATTCCTGATCTACCTGAAGCCTTAAAACATATATACAAAAGAATTCGTGAAGATCATTAATGAATTGATGGTTTTTGAAATAATTTTTAATGAACCTGATTTCTTGAGAGCGAATCTCAGTAACTTCCTCATTTTCCATCAAAACAATGAATACTGACTGAAAAGACATAAACCGTTATCATAAAGTATTCAAGGAATATGAAAATCTTTGATCTGCTGAAGGTCTTTGAAATAATTTATGATGAGCCTTATATCTTGCGATAAAATCCGGGAGACATAATTTTTAATTAAAGAATATTGGAGATCTTCCGGATATGATGAATACATGACCAACCTGACATCTTGAAAAAATATCTAAAGGATTTATGGAGATCTTTGAACAATTGAAAGGTCTTTGGAATAATTCCTGATCAACCTAATATCTTAAAAAAAAATATCTGAGAGACGTGACTTGAATTGTTGGAAGATGAAGATCTTTAGAATAATACTTGACAAAACAGAAGTCTTTAAAAACAATATTTAAATGACTTTATGGTGATCTTTAATCTACTGAAGTTCTTTTAAATATTTCCTTTAAGCTTGATACCGTAAGACCAGGAATTATTATTGATTTGTGTGAATTTAGTATGGTAGAGAACAAAAAGTTATGCTTTTTAGCTCATTGTAACTGCTGATGAACAGAATAATGTCTGATCAACAGCTTCTGAACAGTTCATAGTACTTCCAAGGTGTTCATAGAACTTCTGAGATGTTCATAGAACTTGCGAGATGTATTATTTTTATTATTTTCTTACTAAAAACACATCTCTAATTGAACTTCCGAGTGGTTCATAGAACTTCCCACCATTTCACAGGCCTTTCGAGAAATTCATAGAATTTTCGAGATGTTTGAAGAACTCCCGAGATGTTCATAGATCTTCCGAGCAGTTCACAAAAGTTCCGAGCAGTTCATCGAACTTCCTAAATGTTTATAGAACTTCCGAGGTGTAAATAGAACTTCCGATTATCATGAAACTTCCGAGATGATCATATAATTTGGAGATCTCTTGAAGTTCTCTGGACTTTTGTGAAGTTCTCAAGTTTTCCTGACGTTTCATAACTTTCTTGGAGCAATGTGAACTGATATTTTCGGAACATTCAGAATCTTCCCACTATTTTCCTGAAGTAAGAACGAAATAAATAATGTGGAAAATCTTAGATTTTCAAAAAAGTGCTCGAAATTTTTCGGAAGCTTTTGCAAGCTAAGTTACTACTCTTAAATTATCGATCCTAATTCTTTTTTTTTTTTTTTCTTTGATTTGTTTTCCGTCGATCTTGTTTTCCATGATGAGCACCAATGCTACTGACGCCAGGGAGGCAGCTCCCACACCTGGACCTTACATATCGACCCATCAACTCATGAACCGAGGACCAACGGTTTTACTTCCCTTCCGAAGGAAGGCGTGATCAGCGATGTTATGCCTCAGAACATCCTGACGGTGCCGACTGGGATTGAACCCAGGCCTGCTGGGGTGAGAGGTAATCACGTTTACCACTACACCACCGGCACCGCTATCCTAATTCTTCAACATCCTAAAACTTCCCGGATGTTATTAAAACTGCACATAATATTTCTGAACATCACGAAGATCTCTAAACTTCCCTTAATTTCTCGCTATTTCTTGTACTTTTCCTGGAGTTTTGAAAACTATCGGAACTTCCTCTTAAATCTCGTATTTTACCTGAACCTTTCTGAACTGAAGTTTTCGGAACTATATTTTCTAATTTTCCAGCTATTTTCCATATATTCATAATACTTCCCCTGAAGACCCATCAATGTTTCTGAAGTTTTCGGAATATCTCATATTTCCTCGGAAAACCTTGAAAGTTCCTGCATTTTTTCTTCTTTTCCGAAGTTAATGAAACTGCTCTGAAGTTCTCTGTGCATCCTCGTAGTACTCGAAACATCCCTGAATAAAATGAAACCAACCATAAATCTCTTATACTTTTTTGAAGCTCTCTGAACTTTCTTAAAAAATTAGGTACTGTTGAAAATTTCTCACAATTTTCGAGAAATTAATGGAGCTGCCTTGAAGCTCTCTGATCTTCACTGAAGTTCCTGCATTTTCTTGGAAATTCTTGGAGCGGCCATGAAAATCATGGAACTTCCCATAAAATGTTCTCACATAATGCTGATGTTCATTAACTTCCTAAACGTTTCCCAAATTTGCTTGAAGCCCTCGGAGCTTTATGCAACTTTTCTTTTAAATTCTGGAACATCTCTTCAAAATTCGCCAACCCGAGCGTCTGTTCACCATGGAGGTGCGGCTCAAACAGCGTCTGTCTGGCATCCAGCGGCTGAATAAGAAATGCTCTTCCCCGAAAGCTACACCTAAGATGGCAGCCCCATCACGGCGGATAGGAGACCTTAGGCCAACCA